TACATAGGCGGTCTTAATATTTTGGACTCAGATTTCAAAATTTATGTGTTCTGATTTATTGATATTATTTAGTAATATGAAGGAATTTATCGAAGCTTAATATATCAGAATTTTTAAAAAAAGATCGATAAGTATAACTGATATATGCATAAAATAAGTCTTATGATACTCTATCGATAAGCTTTAGCATCATCTAAATGTGTCATAGGGATTTGCAATGTTGCTGAAATACTCATTGATAAAGATTCCACTGAAACTTTTAAAAAAATTAAAGTTACTTGTATGTTAAACATAAAAGTGGTAGTGGATATATTAAAAAATAACATCAAGTGCATCCTGGATAATTGGACAGTATATTCGAAGGGATCCTCACTTTCTGTCAAGTCTTCTACTGCTAAATTAGAAGATATTAGAGTAAATGTCTCTCACTTAACAGTTTCGAGGCATTTTGCTGACCTTGGATATCGAAATGTACTTCCCCTTTATACACTAATGCTAACACCAGCCCATAAGCAAAAATGTGTTAAATGGGCCTAAAAATATAAAGATGATGATTGGAAAAAGACCTTATTTAGTGACGAAACTGCTTTCCAATTATACTGTAACATGATAAAGCATTGGTATAAGTTCAAAAGGCCAGTTCGTCTAATGCCAAAGGATCGAAGTAAAATATTCATCTGGGATGGTTTTTGTATAAAGGATACCACTAGTCTTTTTTGTTTTGAGTATATAATGGATGGAAAATTCTATGCGTCTATGCGGAAATATTTTAATTAGTGTAATTGTTACAATTTAAAAATTTTTTTTTTACTTATAGTCTGACTTATCAAGGTTTTGAAATATCGAAAGCGCCAGTGATTAGTAAGTAATACAATAGGTAGATAGTGCAATGGGTTTAGCAAGCAATGCAATGGGTATCGTTAGCTTTATATATATGCAAGGCATCATTTTATTTCGATCTATTGTACTTTATCATTTAATTTCAAATATGCATGTAAAATTTTTGTATCGATTGGAATCAGAAAAAGTATTCAATGCATACATTAAAGTGATCTTTATTAAAAAATAAAAACAAAGTACTAATAAGCTACAAATTTAGTTCTTGACTCAATTGTTATTTGAGCAAGTTCGTGCATTATAGCCTTTTTGGCTACAAATTCCACATCGTCTAAATGTGCTTTTACTACTTTCGCCTTCTACATTCTCATTTATTTCCAAATTCACTAAATAAAAGAAATGTTAACAAATATGAAATTATATGATAAATGATAAAAATTTAAACCTTACACATACCTGTATTTAAATTATCTTGTAATGCTTTTCGAAGCCTTTTATGTGGCAATTCTTCATTATCATAAATGCTATTTTCTTTATTCTGATTACATTCAACCACTTGTCTTTTTTTGCCTTTATGATTCCCACTCACATTTTTGGGCTTTCGACCTTTCTTTCTAATGCTGATTGGGTTGCTAATAGTACAAGCAAATTTAGTAGTTTCATTGCCTTGCACAATTTGAGTCACTTCAGATTCCATCTCTTTGATAAGCTAATCATGTATTTTGTAAAGCTTTTCTATTCTGCCTGTTTCAATTGCTAAATTAAGTGTTTTTTTTATTAATTCAAACCCTTTTCCCCATTGTTGTTTTCATGTCATTTCTTGGTGAATCTCTTTAGTAAAAACATGACATCCGCGGATGCTTTCTAAATAAGAGAAATCCAATTCTACTGCATGTTCTACTGTACCAAATCCATTATTTGATAACAATGAAATTGCTGATATATTTGAAAGTGTTGAATCTGCCTCCATAACTGATACATTTGTATACCAATGCCGTGGTAAAAGTCCAATATGAAATTTAGCAATTGAAGAAACAAGCATTGTAGCAAAAAAATGACGACATACAAGACCATGATTAATTAATGTCAAGCATGTACACAGATGCATAGCGTTATCATATAATATAATAAAATGCTTGCTTTTTTTATTAATAGAAGAAATAAGCCAAAATTCATGTATTCTTGTTAGATCTAAATCTACAATTAACTGCGTGAGTTCTATCACACATGCATCAAACATATCTTCAGAAAACATGCCTCTTGGTGATTCAACAGTTACCTAAAAAAAAACAATTAACCATATATAAGCATGAAGATGTCAAAAATTATCCTGAATGCCATTTTCCTGAAAGGACATTTTCCCAAAAAGTTTAGTCTAATTATAGTAACTCTGTTTAAGGTTTTTAGGAAAATGTCCTTTTGGGAAAATGGCCTTTGGAAAAACATACTGTAACCTATATAAGTAATTATAATCATAAAATCTGATCTATACCTGTTGCTTAAGTTCAAATTTCAAATTAGATAGATGACATCGATAATGCATGCTACGATTTATTTCATGTTATTAGAGTTTAAGAATTGCTAGTGTTAAGAAATATTGACATGATATGTCAACTTCTTTAAAGTAATGATTATAATAATCTTCATTTTGACTCACAAGAAGCTTACCAATGGTTTATTTAACTTTATAAATTTGCTCTCTTTTGCTAATAACCTCTCAATTGTATGCTCAAGCTCCGTAAGTGAAGATGACCCATTAACATTATTTTTAATAATACTATTGTATGACTCTATGCGTTGTGTACTTTGTATTCCAGCATTAAATGCACGGTGTGTAAAACACAATACCCAAGCCTCTCTACATGGATAAAGATAATGTTACAAATAACTAGTGGCATCAGGATATTCCTGCAACAATGTAGCCCATCTCTCTTCAAAAATTGATTCAACTCGACTATTGCGTGCATAACAAAAAGCTGCAAAAAATTTGTTCCATTTTTCACCATGATACTTACTAAGAAAATGCTTTTCCAAGTTTTTCTAATATGAAATAAACAAAAATGATGTTTTATTGTTGGATCAGCATCTGTATAAAGTAAGGATGGTGTTAATCCTCCCGTTACTTTGGAAAGACTCGTGAATAATCATGAAAAGGTGTCTTTTGTTTCATCTGACACTATAGCAGTTGCTACAAGGCGGGAGCGATTGTGATTATCTACTAATATTACAACACACAAAATTATTGAATAACGATTTGTTTTTGCTGTTGTATCAAGTAAAATTATATCATGAAAACGAGCCCAAAATTCTTGTTGGCTTGGACGTATCCAACAAAGTCTAACAAGATGATTATCCTGACCTTCAAAACGTGCATCAACATGAAATGTTGGATTTTCCTGTTGCTGATTCATAAGTGCAAGATACATCGAACCAGCATCACTTGTAGTTTGATTTTTGTGTCAGATTGTTTGAATCTAATTGTAAATATTACGGGAATAAATGTATTTGTCTAGATATTTATACTGCAAAACTTCAATAATTGCACCAGCACGCACCCCACAAGTAGCGAGAAGTGCTATGTCATCACGCATTTCTGGAGTAAGTTTACGATAACAAGGGGAAACCATTCTAATATTCTCTACTAATTCATGATTATGCTCACCCTCAACCTTTGTAATGTGAACTAGATTGTCCTTTTTTCGACAGTAAGCATTAATATGAAACTTGCAATTATTTGTATTATGTCCTCTGTTACGATTTTCATTTGTATGTGCTTTTTTTTGTTGATTATATATTCGACCTTTTGAGCATGCATAAATATAACGTCAAGGAAAACCATCATCCTTATCTTTATCACTGTGGGTAATCGTAAATGCAAAGCTTTGTTCTAATTCATAATTTTCAAGCCATCTTAATAAAACAAAAAAAGTTCTAATATTATTATACAGGTATAAATAATATGACATAACTTCCTAGCATGCTTACTCGTCAAGTTTTTTCCAGTTTGCAAAAGTCATATCTGGCGTAACAGAGTACAATAGTTCAATATTTTCAACTTCTTCGTAGTATTCTCAAAAAACTCACTTAAAGACTCTTCCTCATTTAAAACAAATGATTGTGTGTCATCAGCTAAAAGGTTAAAAGTATCTTCTGATGTTCCAGATGGATCAAAGTCATTGACACCATCATATTCATCTTTAATATGAAGAAATGGTGTAAAGGAAAAGGAGTGGGAAGACATGACTAATATAATTAAATGTAAACGGTAAGTGATGAGTAGTAGGTAAGTGATGCTAAACATAAATAGTGTTAAAGTATTGAAACATTCAATATAAAGAAAGCGAAAAATATGTTTAATTACCGTAATTTCTAATTGCTTGACTCTACTTTATGCCAAATAAGAGATATCGTTATAATTAAAATTCTCGTTACTATGAAATTTTAAATGAAATAACACTAAGAAAATTATTATTTCATAAAGTCAAAAAAATCAGTTTAAATTCGAAAACCAACAAGTTTGACCACTATCAAAAAAAAAAGTTATAAGGAACGGAGGAAAAGAAAGTATAAGAAACAAAGAGAGTGAGAAAAAAAAAACTTTAAGTATATGAAAGTGATACACAAATATACATTTAAAATTTAAAGTTTTGTATCAAAACTGATTATCTGATATCAATAAAGTTTATTTGCATAACACGTCACGTACTATGCCAGCACATGTCACGTCTTCTGATTGGGCAATAAATAACAATAATCATATGATCACATGATATGGTGTTGAACACCGCGATGTGGTTTATAATTCCCGATTAAAATTATTGAAAATCAATTTTTCAATCTTTTTTTTTTTTTTTTTTAATAAAAAAAAACACTTTTATTTTATTTAACATGATTTTAAAAAATAACTTTATTTTTTAAATTTAAATATTTAAACTTGTAAGAACTTTTATTAAATGTAATTTTTTTTATTTTTGTAAATTTTAATTTTTATATATTTAATATTTTTTTTATAAACATTAATATAAAGATTTTATGATAAAAATTAAACATTTTGGTTAAAATCAATTACTTTTTATCTTTAAGTAAAAATTATTCAACAGTTTAATAATATTTATATCTAATTTTTTATTAAGTTTATATGTAATAATATATTTTTTTGTAACTTTACTAAATAAGTCATATATTTTTGATTTTACAAGGAAATTTGAATACTTTAGCCAAAGTTAATCACTTTTAATTTCTAAGTAAAGTTATTTAGCAAGTTTAATACTATTTGCATATAAAATTTTATCAAGATTGGTTTAATATTTATATAGTAATATGTATTTTTGTAACTTTATTAATATTTTGACACTTTTTTTTTAACTTCACTGGATAATTTGAGTATAATGGTTAAAGTTAATCATTTTTTATTTCTAAATGAAAGTTATTCAGTAGGATTAATACTATTTACATTTAATATTTAGAAAGATTAGTTTAATATTTGTGTAGAAATAATTTTTTTTATAATTTTACTAAATTAGTTATACTTTTTAACTTTACAAATTAATTTGATTACTTTAATTAAAGTAAATTGCTTACTATATATTAAGTAAAAATATTTTATATATTTAAAACTATTACATATAAATTTTATCAAGGTTGGTTTAATATTCATTGAGTAATAGCATTTCATAATTGTATTAATTCATAAATTTTTTTTAAATATTTATTTGTATAATTTATTAAATACTATATTAATATTAACGTATATGGGAGCTAAGCTATTAAAATCACCTTACAGGACTACCAACTAAAAATTGAGATTTTTGATTCATATTATTATATGATTTATGAACTTTATTCGGTTAAATTTTTATAGTCGATTATCTTATTAACAAAAGTAAGCAATAAGGCCATCAAAAATTTCTCATTTCTTGTGTAATATCAGTCGAAAAATCTAAAATTAGAATTTAGAAATGATCGACATTATTATTTAAAAGTAAAAAAAGTTTCGGACCCT